TTTAACATAATATTATGTATAGAGTTTAATTCAGTGTTTGCTAGATTAATTTCCCTATTTCTAAATTAATGTCTATATTGCCATGAAGCAATTACGATTTTCTTGCCTTGGATCTTCCTATTGGTGACCTAATCAAAATGGCCGACTTGGATGTGGGCAGAGTTGGATATCCATCCTTGGCTTCCTGCAGTCTGCAGCCAGACGGACTTGCTGAGATCTGGGTGATGGGCATTATCTCCTGGGCTCGATCCGCCTCCTCAAAGGAGGACTGGACACAACCAAGTCCTATTGGCCAGTTACCTCTGGGCAGGAACAGGCCAGGTCCTAATTCATGCAGATGACAGTAATGTGCTAACAAATGGTGTGTGTGTGTGTGTGTGTGTTGACCTAAAGGTGGATCTAATGCAACAGAGAGAGGAAAAGAGAGAAGAGAGTCTGTGGACACAGCCAGAGACTAACACAAAAGTGAAGTTCTAAAAGGAAATAAAACAATCAGTAATTTACATAGATCATGTTATAGCATACTATGCTAAAGTGAGTAATTATAGCCTAATTCTAACATGAGGGAGATCTGGAGTTACACCTGTTTTAGGACTTTAGTGGAAGTGTTTCTGGGGTGAAAACAGAAGCGGACTCACTGGGGGAGTCGCGGAGGTACTGCAGCCTCACCAGAGACGCCTTCTGCTGCTCCCAGTCCCGCCGCTGTGGGTTACGGTTAGACCAGAAGTAAAGGCAGAAGCATCTACCCCAACTACATCTGGCTGCAGCCAAGGATGGATATCCAACTCCACCCACATCCAAGTCGGCCATTTTGATTAGGTCACCAACAGGAAGATCCCAGGCAAGAAAATCCTAATTGCTTCATGGCAATATAGATATTAATTTAAAAGTAGTTAAATGAATCTTGCAAACGCCGAATTAAACTCTATACATAATATGTTAAGATAGTGAATGTTAAATAGGTTTGTACAATAAGTCCAAACAAATTTAACCAAGAAATATTTATTTCTCACAATTATGATGGGTGGAGGGTTAGGGTTAGGATCAGGGTTAGGGTTAGGGTCAAAGTTAGGTTTATGGTCAAGGTTAGGTTTATGGTCAGGGTTAGGGTTAGGTTTAGGATTAGGACATCATTTGTCTTCAGATTTCGTATAGACAGTAAAGTTTAGTTTCCACCACCGAAAGCTGCTGGTCACATGACCTAATCACAATGGCCGACTTGGATGTGGGAGGAGTTGGATATCCGACCGAGGCTCCTGCAGGCTGCAGCTAGAGGCTGCTCATCTTCTCTGGTTAATTCTCAGGTTTCCAACTAAAGAATGGGGTTAATAATCTGGTGCAGTTTGAGCTGGAGGTGTTTTTTACCTCGTGACTCAGTCTGATGGCGGCGTCTGTAAACGCCTGCCGCTCTCTTTCAAAAGTCCTCCTCTGGCGATCCAGCTCCGCGCAGCTCGTCTGGAGACGCTCCCACTCCTCCAGGAAGTAGGAGTCCGAGAGCTCGGGCAGGACGGGGGACTGGATGCTGTCCTGCAGGAGGGAGCAGAGAGGAACCGGACCTTTAGTCTCCCGTCTCCTCTGATGGACCCCGAATGGATGATAACTGGCCCCAGCATGTTCGTACTTTTAAATACGCCCTATCTTTTTTTCCCTTGATTTTTCATATGGAATATAGGTTTTGACCCTGATGTGTATTTGAAATTCATATACCGGACATTTTGCTGGACATTTCAGATTTTGTATTAGACCTGGCTGTGCTGAATTGTTGTTGTTTGTTTTGTTTCTAAAAGACAATAAAGTATTGTTTAAAAAAAAATACGCCCTGAAAAAAAGTACACGCATGTTTCAAAAATCAGTAGCAGGAGCTGTGAGGGAGCCACCCCGGGGACACGTGTTTGGACCCCGAATTGAGGACGATTTTGGTCAAATGATGGATATGATTATGTAACATAAAGGCTAAAGCTGGGACAAAATGATCTTTTCCTTCACAATTCATCCATTGAAAGGAGGGTCCGGTGTATTCTGCACTAAAGGAAACGTTAAGGGAAACATTGGAGCCCTTTCATTAGCATCTGGATAGTTAAAATAGCGCCCCCCATCATGGCCACCACCTCTATACTTTGGGGTTTTTCCCCCCTTCATCCTCATGAAAACATGGGGTTAAAGCAGTGTTTCCCCAATCCTGGTCCTTTTCCTGTTTATTTCCCTGCTCCAGCACACCTGATTCTAATAAATGGAACGACTTTTCAGCTATGCAGAAAGTTGCTTAAGTCCCATTCATTAGAATCAGGTGTGCAGGAGCAGGGAAACTTGGAAAACATGCAGGGCAGGGCGCCTTGGGGACCGGGAAACACTGGTAAAGGAGGAGGGTGGAAAGAATTGAGTTTGAAAATGAGTTTAAGTTGGTAAAACAATGTTCAGATAAATATGAAGTCTGACTCAAAGCTCTCCGCGTGTGTGTGTGTGTGTGGGGGGGGGGGGGTCTGACTGTACCTGCAGCAGGTCCTGCTGGAGCCTCACCAGCTGCTGACTTGCTGCCAGTTCAGCCTCCAGCTGCACCAGCAGCTTATCGTGGTCGGTGCCACGGGCGTCCAACTGACCTACAAACACACACAGACACACACAGAGACAGACACACACACACACACACACAGAGACACACACACAAGTCTGTAGGAGCCTCGGCTGGACATCCAACTCCTCCCACATCCAAGTCGGCCATTTTGATTAGGTCATGTGACTAGAAGCTTTCTGAGGTGGAAACAAAACTTTACTGTCTATACGAAATCGGAAGAAAAATGATGTCCTAAATCTAACCCTGACCCTAATCCTAATCCTAACCCTGACCCTGACCCTGATCCTAACCCTAACTCTCCACCCTTCATAATTGTGAGAAATAAATATTTCTTGGTTAAACTTGTTTGGACTTATTGTACAAACCTATTTAACATCCACTATTTTAACATAATAGTATGTTGAGTTGAATTCAGTGTTTGCAAGATTAATTTAACTATTTTCAAACTAATGTCTATATTGTCATGAAGCAATTAGGATTTTCTTGCCTGGGATCTTCCTATTGGTGACCTAATCAAAATGGCCGACTTAGATGTGGGCGGAGTTGGATATCCATCTTTGGCTTCCTGCCCGGTGGGCGTTTACCTGCAGACAGCAGTCTCTCCTGAACCCGCCTCCAGCTGTGGACCACCCCTCCGGTCACGTGCTCCCCCAGGGCCGCCTCCCCCCGGTCCAGCTGTGGGCCGCGGTCCAGATGTTGGGCCCCGTCCAGATGTTGGGCCCCGTCCAGCTGCTGGGCCCCGTCCAGATGTTGGGCCTCGTCCGGGCCTCCACCCACCAGCAGGGACTGATGCAGGGGGGTCATGCACCCGTTTAAGTTTGTTTTCTTAAAAAACTTTTATGTCCAAAAGATAATTACTGCATGTAAGATGGAGGAGATCCAGCAGGTCCCCGTTAGGATACAGAACCCCTCCCGGCCTGATCCATGATCAGATTTAGATAACGTCACCTTTATTTTACCTTTATCTATTTTGTTGCATTGTAAATAACCTTTATTTATTTATTTATGCCGCCTCTGTGTTTTTTCCCTTTTTTCTACTGTAATGTGTAAATATCCCACTGTGGGATCAATGAAGTATTCCATAAATCTTAGTTTAGTTTTCCACCCCCATCTCCTCCATCCCAACCTACTCCACCCCATTAGGACATACTTGTCCTAATGAACAATAGGACAACTATGTGGAATCTCATGCTTGAAGACACTATGTGGTCAAAACAAATCCCCACTGATTTAAAACTCAACGTTCCCTTTTTTGATGACGGGAGCCACAAAACGGCAGCTTTCAACTGAAACTCATCAAAACAGAAAAAAAAAATTCGAGAAAACTGAAGCAAACTTAAGACGAAGCTTAAGACCATCCAGACTGTTTAATGTGTCGTTCCAAGATGGTGGAACGACCTACTCTTGAAGACCCCCCTCTTCAAAGAGTATCTCCTATCCTAACCCTAACCCGTACCTCTACCCCCCACAGCTCCTAT